TTCTCAAAGGGAAAGAGTTTAACCAGCCTTCCCTTCCCCTTCTTTCTAGTTTCTGGAAAAAGAACACATGGCTGAAGCTGGAACAGCCATATGGGATTCCAATATGGAAGTGATGTGTTTAAGAGAGCACAGAAGCCTGGGTCTCTGATGACTGCAGAGCAGCCAGGCCGACCCTGAACTTTTAGGAAACATATACCTGTTGATGCTACTTCTACGCTGTGTCTCTGTCCAACAGCAGAACCCATATCCTAACTAATAAAGATGTTTTGCCAATGCCACTGAAGACCACTCCCGAAACTCCAGAGCCTTCTCAACTGTTCAGATTTAACAAGCCCATAAATATTTATTAAGAGTCTACTATGTGTTTGAAGTCTGCTAAGAGTATCTTTATAGCCTCCTGGGAGATGTGCCCCATATCATTTTTGAAAAACTAGTATATTGGTATAGAATGCAAAAAGGCATATGAAATAGAAAGAAATAAGAACTGTTTAAATAAGATCATGAAGGAGGCAGGGAAAAGTCCATATTTGCCTGCAAATAATTTAAGCTGAAAGGAGGCCACAAGGCATACACAAGGCATGGGTGAGGTAGTGGGTCAAACGTCCAGGGGTGCAGGTTGCTAGTGTCTCCGCCCCCCAGGAGAGAAGGTGACAGAAGGAAACCACTAGGGGTGAACTCAGGTCCTGTCTGGGATCTCTGAGGCATGGAGTGAGGTTGACTGAAGCACTGACCAGGATAGGATCTGACCCAGCAGAAGAACTGGGAGGAGGACTAAATAGATGCACACAAGGGTCCCTTTGGCACTGATATTCTGCTCTGATCTTAAGGAGCTGAGGTGGGGGAGGACTGGGAAGAAAGAAATGAATTCAAAGAGACAGGTGTTGTGCAGTGCTGAGGTAGGAGACCAAATGTTCAGCTTGGGGGTGGAGAGTGTGTGGTGTAGGAGTGCAGTGTCTAGACCCCTGCCATTATCAGAGAGAAAGGAAACGAATGTGGCTTCATTATAATGACAGGATGACAGCAATGACATTACCAGGAGAGGATCAGAAAAGTGCAAAACCCATATTAAGAAAATGGGAACTGTATCTTCACCATCAAATTCCCCCAGGAGAGCTTCCCAAGACAGGGTCATGTCCCTAACCTGAGACTGAGACTTCCCAGATAAAGGGGCCAGTTCCCCTAACAATCCCTCCTTCTCTGAAGGATCCCTCAGAGGCCAAGGCTAGGCTCAGCCCATAGTGAAGGCTCCATCTCCAAGCCTTAGTCACTGGCTGGTGGGCAAGAGGGCCTGTCTCTGTCCTTCTCACAGCCCAGCCACCGTCGGCCCTGACTCCCTGAGAGCACCACCCACAGCCGTAGTCTCCCAATCCTCAGCACCCAGCCGGGGGGGCTCTCAGGGAGGCGCTCAGAATGTGCCTGTTGATTGGGGGACCTCCTCTCCCAGGTGTCACACAGATGGCTAGATTGGTCCTGTGCTCCTCAGCGTCATCAATACACAGGAGATGTGCAAAAAAGGGAGGTCACTCACTACACCTTGGGGTGAGCCCTTGCAGAAAACCACCAAAGACCCATATGAGGAGGGCAGGGAGATCAGGGCACGGGCTGGCTCGCCCCCGGCCCAGGCCAAGACGCCAGTATGGAAGTCAGACATAAAACCAGGCAGTGAGGGACATCGTAGATCAGCTACACCCACAGCTAATCGCAAACACTCATTTTAGCCAACGGCTTTCCCCTCTTCCTATTGTAATTTTTTTTATCAGAACTGAGAAAGGTGGGCAAGCTTGAAAATATGTAGTTTTCCTGCTTCCTGTAATCCCCTGGGAAATTAGCCAAGTTAAAATGAGGTATTCAGTGCCAGAGAGCCGAGAGGAGAAGCAACAGAAGGCTTCTGGAGAATCTATATTATGGCTAATACACTGCAACAGAATAGCCAAGAAACACTATTACCGACACATGTAAAATTCAATACCAAGAGGAAAAAATCACAGTGTAACCACTACTTCAAAAGCCTACTGGCTTTGTGTCTCTCTTGACCCCCAAAGGAATGCTGGGCCTCACTGCCGGGGAGAGAGGAACACTGACCCCCTGACATAAATTCAGGCTGTGGTCAACGCTCCCCATCGCCAGAGATTCCAATTCTGGGGTCAGTTGAATTCCATGAGCCGTGCAGTAAGGACCTAAGTGTGTACACGTGCATGCACAGGCGAAGCAGGATGAAAGAGAGCCCTGTAAATCTAATAAGACATCAGCAGTTGTCCTGAACAAAGGTTGTTTGGAACATGAGTTTACAAGTATAATTACCAGCACATTACACGGAGAGCAATAACTTTGTTGTTAGCACAAGAATTTGTCAGATGTGTCACACGGAAAGTGGAACAGCTGTAACCATAAGTGACAGTTGCTGAAAAATAGCTGGTTTCCGAAGCACCTGGTCCCCTGAGTCTGTACCGTAATCTTGGTCTTAAATTAAAACAACAACAACAAACAAGCACACAAAAACTTTCCACTGCAGAAACTGCGGGCTTGTTAAAGTTTACGGAGAGAATTTTCAGGGTGTCGGCGTGTCAGTTCAGAGGCGGGCGGAGTCTGTTCTCAGACCACACCAGGGCAGGTGGGCTCCATGGGAGGAACTGGGCTGTTAATTCAGGGAGGCCTGGATCTGAATCCTGTCTCTCCTGCTTACCAGCCCCACATTGCTGGGAAAGTGAGTTAAGTTCTTTGAGCTTCCATTTCACTACAGGACGGAGATAAGACTCTCTAAGGTATAGAGCTGTGAGCAGTAGAAATCGTGTGTAGAGCACTTAGCATAGCATCCGGCAAATAACAGGTGTTCGGGAAACAGGGTTACTATTAAGTAGATTTGTCTACTAAACATCATACGTGGCTGCATAATGCAGAGGGGACAGCCTGTGTATTACACTTTTTTAAAAAAGAAATGGAAACATCACAAGTTCTGAGAAGGTGGGGAGAGAAAAGAGGTGATAACAATTGAGGTTTTCCTAGGAGACTATACCCAAGAAATTACGCTTTCCGCAGAAGAATAGTTTTGCAAAAATAAACTGCTTATGCTTATTATATTGCCACCAGAACTATTTCGTTTTTTCTTTTCTTCCAGGTAAAAAGTTGCGAGAATGTCTCCTGGTATTTGAAAGCCTTTGGGGAGCCCATGAAATGGAGCCCATTTTCTAACTGACCACTGTTAGCAAATTTTCTGTAATAGATATAATGCAGTATTTCAACTGACAGTGTCTCATCTCTCCCTCTAAGACACAGAAGCATCTGGTTATTTTCCCAGTACCCCAAGGCTCACAAAACAGCACTGCCTAGAAAACTGGTGCTGTTAAGCTTGAAACAGTTGACATTGTTGAAATCGTTCTAGAATAGCAAAGGTCTTAAATTCTTTTACACGACAAGAGAAAACACCACAAGTTCTAATTAAGCTAAAGCAATTAGCCACCCACAGATACTTAATGCTGCTTCCCATGGTCAGGCAATCATCTAGATTAAAACCCTTTTTAAAGTAAGGAGCAAACCCAAAGCGCCATCAGCACACACTTCCCACAAATCAATTGCCCCCTTAGACACATTCGGTAAATATTCAGAAGGAAGTTCTACGCCTGCAGAGGGCTTTTATGAAAGGACTGCATCAGACATGATGAGGTGGCCATGAAAAAGGAGGAGGCAAGCAGCAAAACGACAACTTAGGGTAACAAAATCCACTGGCTGAGCAGGACATTGGACTTTTGGTGGTTTGGACAAAGCAACACAAATTGAAGCCTCAGGTTTCCCTGGTCTTAGAATTCTCTGCTAGGTGTGAAAATTAACGCGTCAACTCCACCCTAAAGGAGCACAACAAACAAAATGGTTTCTGCCTACTGGAACCAGAGCCCAACTTCATCATGGATGACCAGACCCCTGTCCAACCAGATGCTTTACCAGACCAGAGGACTGTCCTCTCCCATGTCACAACTTGTCATTGAAGCGCCAACAGGGTGCACTTGGCAGGTTCACGTGAGTCCAATGCACTTAAGTTCATGTGCTTTCCCAGCTCAGTAAGGTCTACACCACTCTAAGACTCCCTTTAGTGAAGGGAGTTCATTGTTGTTTCCAGACGTAGCAACACAACAGCCACACGATGGTCAACGGGTAAGTGATGGAGATTTAAGTATCTTCCTCCAGAACAAGGGTCGTTTTACTTCAGTCCAGTCAAGGTAATCCTATAACCCATTACTTCTCAACTGAACAAGAGGCTGTTTATTTCTGGGGGATTTTTTGGGGGGAATTTGAAAAGTTTCTCAACCATCAAGCAAATATGAAAAACGATCTAGATCAGTGCTGTCCAATAGGAACAAGATTGAAAATTTTCCTAGGAGCATCAAAAAAGCAAAAGAAACATGAAACTAATTATAATAGGATATTTTATTTAACCCATTATATCAAAAATATTATCAATTCAACATAGATAGAATCAACATAAAAGATAATTAATGAGATACTTCAAATTCTTTTTTCATACCTTCTTTTTCTGGTACCATATTGGAGCACGCAGATCTAGAGCTCTGTTTAAATGGACATGGAGAGATTTCCACAATTCACTGCTCTATGAACAAGCAGTTTACCAAGTTGTATGTATAGCATGATTTCATTTTAACTTTATAAATATCTATACCTATGTGTTCAGAAATGGATAGAAAATAATCTGTAAAGCAGAGACCAAAAGGTAACAGTAGCTATTTCTGAGAGGTAGAATTATGATTGGTCTTTATTTTCTACTTTGTGTTCTTTTGTATTTTCTAAATTTCTTTGCAGTAAACTTGTACTGCTTTAATTATCAGGAAAACTATAAAAATAGTCTTTAAAAATAAATCCCTCCTGTATTTTAATTTATTACACTCTGACCCTGCTGGCACTGTAGCCATTGCCCTATTTTCAGCTAATAGAAGGGATGGCCAAACCGTATTTGCCCTGCCCCACCCCACCCAAGCAACTGCCATACTTACAGCCAATCATCATTATGGCCACTGCAAAGATCTTCTCGATGTCTGTGGACGGGGCAATGTTCCCAAAGCCCACGCTGGTGAGGCTGGTCATGGTGAAATACAACGAGGAGATATAGACAGAATTCTTGCTGGGACCACCTTCCCACTTCCCTGAGCCGGACCCATTAAACTGGTAAGGGGTGCCAATGTCCATTGCCAATTGGTAAAGCCAGCTATTGTTGCGGATGGTCTTGGTGTCCTCGTCGAAGATCTCATAGTCCCCGATGCTGTACCAAATGCAGGCCATCCAATGAGCAGCCAGTCCAAACACACACACCAGCAGGACCAGGACGGCAGCTCCATATTCAATGTAGTGGTCCAGCTTACGGGCTACTCGTCCCAGACGAAGCAGCCGGACAACTTTCAGAGAACTGAACAGGCTGCTGATGCCCTGGGAGAAGAGAAGCACAGCATCAGGGCCAAGAATCAAAGACACAACTTCTTCCCTCCTCCTCGCCCAAGCTGTTGCCTTCAGCATAGCGCATTTCCATAGCAATACTCCAAGATGCAATATTACGCAACCCTTAAAAAATTGTTTTAAAATAAGTCATGATGTGGAGAAATGCTCATATATATTTGTATACCTATGCACAATATAATTAGAATTTTATTCCCAGGTGTATGGCAGAGAGATTTCCATTAGCTTTTTCCTACTTTCATTAAAAAGCAAATAAGGAAACAAAGAAGACAAATAAAATTAGAATTTTATTCTAATTATATTGTGCATAAGTACACAAATATATATGAGCATTTTTCTATATCATGACTTATTTTAAAACAATTTTTAAGGGTTTTGCAATATTTCATATTAGGTAATATGAAATATTTCAGAGTTGCAGAATATTTATTTCATATTATATAATATTTCATTCTAATTATATTGTGCATAACTATACAAATATTTATGTGTTGAAAAGTGGTCAGGAAACACACGGAAAGACGTAAAACAGTAACAGCAGTAGTTATCACTGCATTGTCAAGTTACGGCATTACAGGCAACTTTTTGTTATATTCGTACATATTTTGTTACATTTGTATATATTTACTTAATTTCTATAGTTAAAGTTTTACTTTAACCATTAGAAAAATTATATTTAAAAAACAAACATAGTTTTAAAAAAAGATAAAAATGAAAGAAACAAGTGAGAAGAATGAAGAATTGAGATTCTGTTTTCTCAGTAAAGTCACAAATTCTTGGATAGCTCCATCACTTCTGTCAGGCCAGGGATTACACAGACACCATGTACTTGAACACCGTCAGTCCAGGACTCTCAGAGCTAGAAGGAACCTTCCTATTTCACCTGGTCAAGCCTGCTCCCTTGCAGCTGGTGTCTGCCAATCCCACCAGGACAGGTCGATTCTCCAAATAGAAGTGCTCTAGGGAACAGCTGTGTGGTGGTGGAAGGAACACCACCGGAGAAATCTGGAAAACGGGGTTTGAGACCCACATAAGCCACTAACTTGCTACGTGAATTTGGACAATTTCTTTTACTCTCAGTTTCCTTGTCTAGACACTGAGGGAGGTAGACGAGAGGATCAGTAAATCTTCTCCAAAAAATAATGTACTCTTATCTCCAAAGGGAAGGGAAACATATTACAGAAGCTATACCATTCAAAACCCCAAAACTCCTATTCCAAAGTGATGCCAACATGTAAGGAAGGGAGATTTCCATTAGCTTTTCCTACTTCCATTAAAGAGCAAATAAATAAGCAAACAAAATAGAGCCATTTCTCTGAATCAAGACTTCAATCTCCCTACATAGCAAAAACCCAACAACAGGATGATGCCCTTCACCAAGCACAGTGAGGAACTTTTCACTATTCTAAGCACTGGACATTTTCCAGGTCACTGCTATCCTCTCTTGTCCCCTGTGCCCTTAGTGACAACCCCCAAGGGTCAGGTATGTCACAGACAAAAGAAAAATGTGTAAATGCTTTCTGATAAGCCTGGGTCAGAGACTCACCAAGGCTGCTTCCTCTTCCTAGGCACACAGCTAAACTACATTTCCCAGCCTCTTTCCACCCAGGTGGGTCTCTGGGACTAGTTCTCGCCAAGGGATTGTGAGGTGAAATGTGTGTCCCTCCCAAGCCAAGTAAGTGTTCTTTCTCTTCCCCCTGACGTGTCTTCCAGATGAGGCTAGTGTGACCTCCAAGCCACGTGGTGAAAATAATGGATGTACGGATGGAAAGAGCCTGGGTCCCTGAAAGACTATGTGGAGTGCCCTCTCCCCACACAATCAACTCAGAGCGTATTGTGACGTGAATGAAAAAAAAAACAACTCTGGGGACCAGCCCAGTGGCCTAGTGGTTAAGTTTGGCATGCTTCACTTTGGTGGCCCGGGTTTGCGGGTTTGGATCCCGGGTGTGGACCCCCACCACTTGTCAGCCATGCTGTGGTGACAGCAAAAATATATAAAATAGAGGAAAATTGGCACAGATGTTAGCTCAGAGCAAATCTTCCTCAGCTAAAAAAAAGAAGAAGAAAACCCTCTAAAATAAGCCATTGATATTTTGGGAGATATTTGTTGCATTAGCTATCATTAGCCTTCCCTGACAAATATAGAGCCCTTCTGTCACATGAACACACAAACCATATGTAGCATAGCCTTGTCAATAAAGACCACAGATCAGGTTGCCACACAAATTACTTCTGTTGGGGTGAGGGTAAGGGAGGTGGGATTTATTGCCATTTTAAAAAACAAAACAAACAACAGTTTTGTAGCCATAAAACTTAACAATAGAAATATTCATTTCTTGTCCAGTGTACACCAGCAAATGGATAATAACAGATTTTTCTAGGCCAAAAGACTACATCCCCAAGATAAGGTCATCCAAACTGCTAACTTTGACAAAGTTGACCCTCGGCATGTCCAGTACTCCTCCCCTGGGTCCCTCTTCCCTCTGTGCACTTTTCTCAGAAACTTGCCATGCAGAAAAGGCTGAGAAAATTCCTCATATTGAAGTGCAAAAGACTGGTGAGGCTAAATGGACATCCTCTCTTCATAGGGCATCTGCATTTTAACTCAACTTCCAATAGTGGAATTAAATGCACCCACAGCCTGGATGAAGGAGGTATTTTGGGAGACAAAGGAGCCTTTTTGATGACTCAGAATTCAAACACATGTAAGCAGCCACCTCCTCGCCACCTCCTCATAAGGAGGTTCCTGGAATCATCGCTCAAAGCAGCTCTACTCTGAAGCAGAACTTCTCACCCAGGGAAAAACTGCCTTGTCATTTTTCATCACTCATTCAATTCAAAGCAACATTTATGGAGAACCTCCCATGGCCTCCTTGTGCTGATGCTACAGGGAAGAGATTAAAATGACGCTGTCCTTGTTTTCTTGTTCACGATGGCATCTTCAGTGCCTGGCATGTAGAAGATGCTTGATAGGGAGAAAGAAGGGAGGAAGCAAAGCTTAATAGCTAGTGAGAGAGGTAAAATATGGTGAGCAAAAAGACATATCTACCTGATAGTCACAGAACTTGAGAGCTGAGAAGGAGCACAGAAATCACCTAGTCCTGCTGCCCTGAGTCCAGCAACATCATCCAGAGCTCCCTTAAGGAACAGTCATTCAGCCTCTCCTTGAACTCTGCCCTTAGCCACTACCTCTCGAAGATCCCATTCTGTGGCAGGCATTCATGGAGATGAACGATTGGGTGCCCATTACCTTTCTTATCTCCCTTCCGCTCCATCTGCACTTCATCCCTCCTCCCTTCTCCAGCCCTTCCCAGTGGCCACCACAACGCATGCAACCACTACCCAAAGGCCGTGCCATCCTCTAGCCATACACTCCAGACACCTTGAGCATCCCAGACAGTGGAAGCACACTTGCATGTCTGTGCCTGCTCAGACTAGTCCCTCAGCCCAGAATGCCCAGCTTCCCTGTTTCTGCCAGCTGGTGTTATCCTTCAGGCATGACACTACAATACTAGCCATCCTTCAGGCCTGCCACTACCTCCACCCTAAAGCCTTCCATGACTACCCCATAGTCACAACCAATCCTTGCCCCTCCACGTGTCCACGGTATTCTGTATCCGTTACCACTGAACACATTGCTTTGCATTATAGTTTCCTGTGGCCATTTCTCCAACTATATCAGAAACTATACCTTCCTGAAGACAGAAGCCATCTGTTATTCATTTTAGAAGCCTCTTGTATCGGGTTGAGTAGTGTCCCCCCAAAAATTCATGTCTTTCCCAGAACCTTCGGATGTGACCTTACTTGGAAATAGAGTCATTGCAGGTTCGGTTAGTTAAGATGAGGTCATACTGGAGTATGGTGGGCCCTTAATCCAGTATGACCGGTGTGCTTGTAAGAAGAGGAGACTAAGACAGACACAGAGAGAACACCATGTGACTACTGATGCAGAGACTGGAGTGACATGTCTTCAAGCCAAGGAACACCAAGGTCTACCAGCAATACCAGAAGCTAAAAGAAGGGCACAGAACAGATTCTCTCCTAGAGCCTTCAGAGAGAGCGTGGCCCTGCCAGCACCTTGATTTCAGACTTCTAGCCTCCCAGAATGTGAAAGAATTAAGTTTTGTTGTATTAAACCACTCAGCTTGTGGTAATTTGTCACACAGCCCTAGAAAACAAATACATCTACACAGGGTCTACAGCCAGCACCTTCTCAGAAAGGGTCTCAAATATTTCCTAAACTGAATTGAAGAGTTTTGATTATTAGAGAATTCTTTCTCATTTTAAGAAGCCTCTGGAACAATATAAAATAAGCATTTCCTCACTGTGCTATTTTTCTGTGTTTACACTGATACTCTATTACACGGTTTTGCATAAGTTCCCTCTTACTGCACTGGCAGCTGGAATTCTAGCTGTTTAAAAGCATTTCAAGATATTAATTTGGATTTTTTCTTATTTGCCTGAAGTTCAGGAGAGGCGATAAATAAAACAGAATACTCCAAACTTTTTCCTTTAATTTTAGTATGCTAAAAACATGACAGCACCATATGGTAGGAGAATCACATTTCCCAGGGGACTTCTTGTATCAGAAAATCCATCTCACATTCCAAATAGTTCCAGAGAGTTCTTTAACACAACCTTGAAATTAGGAAGAACCAAGAATTTCAAGTTGAGTCAACATGGATGAAGGGACAGTGACAATGTTTGTGTGTGACCTATCAAGTTTTACCTTTTCAACCATACTAAATAAATAATTCCCTTAATTTGGGCTATAACTTGCCTTCTCAACTAGCCAGATTCACCCATTTTCTGCTCATCTTATTTTCTGTCATATGCATGCAAATAACATTGTCACAGATTGATGGCAATGTGTTATTGAAAAGAACTACTCAGTCTTTCAGGTTCTTGAACAGTTTCATTCCCCAGGCTCCCAGGTCTGTGTGGTGACATGATGGCATCCATAGCAAATTCTG